TTTTCATTACAAAAACATTTGAAACTGCTCACCATAGATTAGAAAGTACTCTATTCCTATTGGTGGGTTGGTTATGTGCCATGGAGTCGGTTCCAACTCATAGTGACCCTGTACAGGGTTTCTGAGGCTGTATATCTTTAAGGGAGCAGAAAGCCTCATCTTTCTTCCGCGGAACAGCTGGTAGTTTCAAACTGCTGACCCTGAGGTTCACAGCCCAATTCGTAATCACTATGCTACCAGAGCTCCTTATTTCTGTTAAGGATCATACATTTTATAAGAGGTTTTGCTTCTGTAGGAAGGTTTTGTGGAGTTGGGAGAGAGACAGATAGATGCCTGCCATACCTAGGAACAGAATTTTTGATCTGGTGAAAAATATGTCAAATTGTTGCTTACAGATTAGTAAGTAAACACAAGGAAATCCTTGCTTATTGAGTAGTCAGACACTGACCTTGGCTAGCTTCTTCGGAAAGCTTTGAAAATCCTATGGAGCTGTTCTACTCTGCACACTGAGACTCACCATGAGTCTGAAAGTACTTGAGGGCAACTGACAACTTCAGGGGAGTGAAAACCCTCATAACGCTAAGAACAAAGACAAACTCTCCCAGATATTAGGCCAGATGTTATAGCTATGATAGCTAGAAACTGGCTGGTGGCATCTCATGCCCTTCTGACCCAAGAGCATCCTCAAATTCAACTTTCCTAATGTTCCATATCAGGTCTTACCTATGGTGATAGTGATGGTGCTTGTGTGCCATGGATCGGTTCCAATTCATAAGGACTCTGTATAGGGTATCTGAGGCTGTAAATCTTTACGGGAGCAGAAAGATATCTTTTTCCTGAGGAGCTGCTGGCAGACTTGAACTGCTGACCTTGTGGTTTGCAGCCCAATTTTCTACCATTATGGAGTCCTGGTGTGGCACTGCAGGATAAGCACTGGACCAAAAAGGTTTGAACTGCATGGTAGGTAGTTCAAATTCACCAGTCAGTGCTTATCCTACAGTGACACGTCAGGACTCCTGAAACATTGTGGTGGTGGTGGTGGCTATGTGCCATGGAGTCGGTTCCGACTCATAGCAACCCTGTACACGCTTTCCGAGGGTGTAAATCTCTACAGGAGCAGAAAGCCTCATCTTTCTCCCACGGAACAGCTGGTAATTTCGAACTGCTGACCTTGCAGTTTGCAACCCGATTCGTAACCACTACGCTACCTGAAACATTGTAGGCCACCATAAAGACTTACAATGAATGAGTAAACCCTGCTGTCTTTGACCTGATAGATAATCTTTCTGTTATCCCAAATGAATTATCCATGCAAGAAATTTATGCTTCCCACTTCTCTTTCACACATTTATTTGGAATCCCATGGAGTTGTTTTACGTGGGTCTGAAATAGCCCTATAATCAATGTTCTGGAAGATAGATATTGTAAATCTTGACTCACTGGCAAGACTTCCGGAAAGGGCCAAGGGTGAGTGACATTATAAATATCGTTCCAGGGCCAAATCTGGCAGCAGTAGTTTTATGACAGGCAAGTCGTTGGGCCCAGGTGAGCTGGCCAAATTTCCTAAGTAAGCCAATGTGTCTGTCTTCAAAAAGATCACATTCTCAGGGCTTTATGTGGTCTTTTTTAAAAAAAACAAAACAAAAAAAACATCTCCTATCTTTCTTTGCACCCAGGGAAGGAGTCCATTTGACTTACCACCTTGAAGGGTTCTATTAAAATAATTTATAAGGAAGCAAGAGACAACTGGAATCCCATAATCTTAGGGTCAGTAGGAAGTGAGAAAATATCTGCTGTTCTAATTCTGTTGTCTTTCTCAACCTACCAACCATTAACCATGGTGACATAACTGTCCGTGAGCAGGACAATGTAATTGTCAGTTCAAGGTCCAACAGTCAATGGGGAGCCCATGAGGACTTTAGAGCAGGGAGGCTTTGAAAGAGTCATTCTGGCTGCTCTGTAGAGCAAGGAGGCTGGGACAAACCAACGTTGAAGGTAAGGAGGTCAGGTTAGGGCTTGGGAGTGAGTGGCAGGAGAGCTGGAGTCAAATAGATGGGTTGGAAAGATATTTAAGAGGTTGGATGGGGCAGGCTTAGATGATTGACAAAAGAGGTGGGAGAGGGAGAGGGCAGCGTCAATGGTCAAGAAGACCCCCAGGCTTCTGGCTTGGGTCTGTGAGGAGATGGTGGAGCCATCACTGGGGCAGGGAGGTGAGGAACAGCAAATTGGCAGGAAAATGAGTTCAGGGGCAAATTGCGTGTGATGTACTCTTGGGGCCTCCAGAGTCTAGGTGGTTGAATAATGCGAGAGGGTGTAGAGGGATTTTAGGAAAGGAGGTTTCAGCGGTCAACACACAAGTGGAGATGATGCCGTGGAGGTAGGTGAGACGGATCAATAAAAAGGTTATTAACAACTACAGTAAGGAATTACAGAGGCCCCTCAGTTTGGGGTATGCGTTGTAGGAGCCGTCACGTGGGGGGCTCAGGCACATGACTGACAGCTTAAGTAGCCTGGCGCCCAAAGCCATCAGAACCAGAAGGCGGGACTTGGCTCCTTCCAGTCCGGCCCCTCTGCCTACTCTTTCGTTTTCTTCAGTGATTGGACAAATCTGATGTCCGTCAAGGGCCCACCTCCGAAAATAGACTAATCAGAGCTGGTAGGAGGGTGCTTCCTTCTCAAGCCGGAGTCCTGCCGAGGGTCTGCTTCGGGAAGGTGAGTCTGTAGTAGTAGTAGTAGTAATAGTGTCAGGGACGGTGGCGGCTGTGCGCAGGCGCAGAGCTAACGAGACGGACTCGGTGGTGAGTGCGAAAGCTGGTGAAAGGAGGACGGGGGTCGCAGGTAGGTTAGGGGAACGGTGTCAGGACACCTCTTTCCACGGTGGGCCTTGCCGGCGCTTGCCTTTCCCCGGCCCACGGCCCCGGTTCAGGTGAAGGGGTGGCGAGCGGAGGTGAGGTGAGGGGGCGGGCCCGCGGCCACAGTCGACCCACTCGCGCGCTGACGCCACGTGGGCTCGCGGACTCTGAGGATCTTGTCTGTGTACCCCACACCCGCACTAGCTGCGTTGTCCCTCTGAGCTGTGTCTCGACTGGGCTTCCCCATTTTACAGGCTGGAAAACTGAGGCTCGGAAATACCGAACCGGTCGCCAAAGGGCACTCGGGGATGTGGCCACGCTGGGTTGGAAAGAGACCTGCCTTGGTGGACTCCGGAGCTCTTATCTCTTAGGCTGTGGCCAGAGACTTGAACTTGGGACCTGTTTATTTTTTTAAGGGCGCGAAATTGTATGGATCGGGGGCCTGCGGAGCACGGGCTACAGGACCCGGGGTGGCCAGCTGCTCCCTGCCCGACTGTCTTTCCCTCAGGGCAGGGAGCTCCTGCAGACAGACTTGGGGAGGGCAGAATTCATTCTTGAAATCCCAAAGCATGTGGGAAAAGCCCCTCCTCTTCTGCCCCCTCCCAACCTTTTAAAAAATAATTTTTTTGTCTAAAGAAAAATTAAGTCTGGTGGAGGTTTGGAAACTGGCTGTTTCATGGCCTTGTGGAGGTGGCGTAAACCTTTTGGAAATCAGTTTGGCAATATGAGTCTACACCCTTTGACCTACTGATTCTAAGCTTAGGAAATAAGTAGGATAAACCTAAGTAGGGAAAAGGTGGTTGTATAAAGTGATAGTTTTTTAATAACTAAATAGCTACCCCAATCCCCCACAATTGAGAGTGTTGTTAAGTGCTGTCTAGTCAGTTCCAACTCATAGCCACCCCGTGTAGGATTTCAAAGTGCGCCTGGTGGGTTTGAACCACCAACCTTTCGGTTCAAACAGATCTTTTGGTCCAGTGCTTATCCTACAGTGCCACACCAGGACTCCACAATTGAGAATAGTTAAGTAAATTGTAGAGTTTCTGCTGAAATAGGGTATTATCCATCCATTAAGTATAATACAGAAAAATGCCCTTACAAAGAAAATCAGACTCAAGGTTGTGGTTACGATATAAAAGTTTGAACAGAATGACCAGAGGGTTATACATCTAATGATAAGGTGATAAGCACTTTTTTTTGAGCTGAAAGGTCCTATTTCATTAAATTTTCATGAAGTCTTAGGAGGAAAGTATGATTGCTACTGGAGCTCAGACAGGTGAGCAACCATTGTTGCCCCTTGGGCACTGTGAGACCTCTGAAAGTGCTCATTTAGCCAGTATTTTAGGGCACCCCTGGTGGCGCAGTAGGTTAAAGAGTGGGTGCTAACTCCAAGGTCGGTGGTTCTCCCAGCTGTTCCTTAGGGGAAAGATGAGGCTACTTGCTCCCATAAAGATTTACGGTCTTAGAAACCTTAAGGAGCAATTCTGCCGTGTTCTCCAGTGTGTCGAGTTAGAGTTGGTTTTGGTGTGTCAAGCACAGGTCTGGGCACTGGAGGGCTGCTGGGGAGTAAGGTAGCCACAGTTTCTGATTCCTGGAAGCTGATAGGCTAATGGAAAGCAGATACTTATATAAACACGGGTATAGTCTACCGGAGGAGTCCTGGTATGGACTCTGGAGGGTAAGCACTGGACTGCTAATCCAAGGTCAGTGGTTCAGACCCACCAGCCACTCCTCGGAAACCCTATACAGGGTTGCTTTGAGTCAGACCCAACTCCATGGCACTTAACAGCAAGTCTGCTGGGAGAGTGCAAGTATGGGAGCTGGACACTAGGCTTCAGCCAGCCGAGAATTTGGAAAAGAGGACAAGAAGGCCGTTGAGCCAGCTGACAGAAGGGAGTGAGCTCTGGGGAAGCTTCAGTGGCTCTGTAAGAAAGTCCTGTTTTCCAAATTTCTAGAATGTATTATAATGGGGGCTGAGATAGAGTAGGGAGACTGACTTATTTTGAGCTTAGTCAATTCCTTTAAACAGTTTGCTGTAAATCATTGTTCAGGATGTTCACAAGTTAGTATTTTTATTTTAAGAAATTAAATTAGAAATTTTTCTTAAACCCTTTAATTTTCAGGTTGAAAAAAAAATCCCTTTTGCTGAAGGAACATATTTGCTGGTGTAGTTTTCAGAATGTCCAGTACTGCGTCCTATTGGATCTTAAATTCGGCAAAGAACAGCATTGCCACATTACAAGGGAGCAGGCGTTTATATTCAAGATGTGTCTCAAGTAGGAATAAGTCGAAATGGAGGCTCACTTCCCAGGCACTGGCCACCTTGAAAAATAGTTTCCCCTATGGCAGTTTGGCTCTGCAAAAAGCTTACAGACACACGTCTACCGAAGAAGACGATTTTCACTTGCAGCTAAGTCCTGTGCAAGTGAATGAAGTGCTGCGAGCTGGTGAGTCAGCCCACAAGACACTTGACCTTGACAGCAGAGTCCCAAATTCAGTGTTGCGCTTTGAGAGCAACCAACTGGCCGCTAACTCCCCAGTGGAGGACCGGCGAGGGGTAGCCTCCTGTTTGCAGACCAGCGGGCTGATGTTTGGCGTCTTTGATGGGCATGGTGGCCACGCGTGTGCGCAGGCAGTCAGTGAGAGGCTCTTCTATTACGTGGCAGTGTCACTGATGTCCCACCAAACCCTGGAGCAGATGGAGGGAGCGATGGAAAGCATGAAGCCCATGCTGCCCATCCTTCAGTGGCACAAGCACCCAGGGGCCAGTATCTACAAGGACGTCACTTCAGTTCACCTCGACCACCTCCGCGTCTACTGGCAGGAGCTGCTTGACCTGCACATGGAAATGGGCCTGAGCATCAAGGAAGCGTTGGCATACTCCTTCCAGAGACTGGATTCTGACATCTCACTGGAAATCCAGGCCCCCCTGGAAGACGAGGTGACGCGGAATCTTTCGCTCCAGGTTGCTTTCTCTGGGGCAACAGCTTGCATGGCCCACGTCGATGGAGTCCACTTGCATGTGGCCAATGCTGGTGACTGCCGGGCCATCCTTGGTGTCCAGGAGGATGATGGCATGTGGTCCTGTCTTCCCCTTACCTCTGACCACAATGTCTGGAACCAGGCTGAGTTGTCACGGTTAAAGCGGGAGCATCCTGAGTCAGAGGATAGGACGGTTGTCATAGATGACAGGCTGCTGGGGGTCCTTATGCCCTGCAGGGCCTTTGGGGATGTCCAGCTCAAGTGGAGTAAAGAGCTGCAGCGCAGTGTCCTGGAGCGGGGCTTCGATACCGAGGCCCTCAACATCTACCAATTCACACCACCCCACTACTACACTCCACCCTACCTGACTGCGGAGCCTGAGGTTACATACCACAGGCTCAGGCCCCAGGATAAGTTCCTTGTGCTGGCTTCTGATGGTCTGTGGGACTTGCTGGACAATGAAACTGTGGTGAGGTTGGTGGTAGGGCACCTGGCCGAGGCAGGTCGGCACAAGCCCGACTTGGCCCAGAGACCCACCAACCTGGGCCTCATGCAGAGCCTGCTGCTGCAGAGGAAAGCTAAGGGGCTCCATGCTGCCGACCAGAATGCAGCCACACATCTGATCAGACACGCCATCGGGAGCAACGAGTATGGGGAGATGGAGCCCGAGCGACTGGCAGCGATGTTGACGTTGCCAGAGGATTTAGCGAGGATGTACAGAGATGATATCACTGTCACTGTGGTGTACTTTAACTCGGACTCAATTGATGCATACTACAAGGGAGGTTAAGGGTCTCTTCCTACTGCCAAGGTCAACCAAAATGCTCTTCTAACACACGTTCACTTACTCTTAAACTGGCTCTTCCAACCTTACTGTTAAAAAGGCAGGCGGTTGTAGGCTGACATGAGAAAAACAGTCAAGCCTGAGTTTAGAAACAGTAGCAGTGGTTTCATGTCTCTGCACGTTCTGGTCCACTTTGTGTGCAGTGAGGCCAGAGCATAGAGACCCGGGGGGATTGGCCTGTGGTCACGAAGCCCAAATCCTTCTATAAAGAATCTTTGTTAAACCGGGGTTGCCTGAGGAAATTTAATCATGATTCTAAGAAGAAAGTGCTCCAGGATCTTCTGAGTTGATTCTGAACTCACCATCATGGACTTCTATACTTTAAAGGGAGGTTTTATTGTTTGTTTTTGAACTACCAAGGCCTGTGTGTAGCACTGGATGGCTAGCCACAAGGCCAGTGGTTTCTGTCTATCAGCTGCTTCTTGAAAACCCTATACAGGGTCTTTATGAGTTAGAAAAATAACAACCAAGGATTATAAACCATCTTATAGAACACTCTGCTATGCAATACTCTGATCTTTTTTAAATGATTATCCTGGTGAAAACATTTTGTATTCAGGCATTCTAGTTCTGCTTTCATTTATTTTAAAACTAAATCCTAAAACTTGCAGGTAGACCTGTTGACCTTCTGTAAGCGTGCTTGGAATGATTTATCTTGGCTGTCAGCTGAGGGTCAGAGGGTCTAGGGCTGGATTTACCTGTCTAGCTTTTGTCCCCTTGGCTGAGTCCCACTCCCTGAGCCATATTAGGAGGTAACTTACACCTAAGTCTTAACTCCTGGCCTCTCCTGTGTTAGATTACCTCCTGGGCTTATTCTGAGCACTCATCTTTCTGATGACGCCTCAAAATGCTGTCAGTTTCCACCTAACACGATTCTCTTGCCTCTGGTGTGCTATTCCCCTCATGCTACTGCTGACCAAAAATAATGTCTAAAGAATTTTTCACAGGTTCCCTTTTCAAATGTGATCATATATGATAGTTGTGACAGACATGTAGGCAGGACGAGAGTATCCAGTAGACTTCAAGCTTAGGCTTCAGCCTGAATTTGTAGAAATGAGTCACTAGCTGGGGCTTGCTGTCTCCCGAGAGGAGGGAGACTTAACCAGAGGGAATACTTGCCCCTAGATTCCAGGAGAAGTTGCCGTTGCTACTGTATCAGGAACTAGACCAGGTTTAGTATAGCAACTGGGGCAAAAGATAAAATGTCACCTGTAAGGGCATATGTGGACTCTACAGTCACTGCATTACTTGGAAGTTAAGCCATTTGGATACTTTTGAGGGGGATGAATTTCAGCTCCTGAGATCTGTGGCATTTGAATAACAGGAAATACTTCCCTAAATGGAAGCACACAAAAAATCCCACAAAACTGACCATTTTATTTTCCTGCACAAAGTGAAGCAGAATTGTCCTACATTAGACAGTTTGAATTATATTAGTTCCTCTCCTCAGCTCACTCTTCTTCCTCCCCGTCCCCACACCTCCTCCCTGTCATCTACGGAAAAGGAAAGCAAATAACTAGGTTTGGCGCCCTCATTTTTGTCCCAGCTGAAATTCAGCCAAGTGTTGAGATGCTTCTACCTTGGGACATTTCCCTGTATGTTTATCCAGTGCAACCACTGAAGGATGTGGCTTCATCTAAGAAATCGTCTTTGGGGTGCTTAAGCCTTGGTTCTTTTATTCTAAAGCCATGAGTATTCCTTCTGATCTCCTTGATCTTCACTTAGAAATAAAATGTGAATCATTACCATTCTGCTAGCATAAAGTCTTATTGCTAGAATTGAAGACTGCACTTGTCTGACATCATTTATTCTATGCCAGTTAAACCCTGGAGTATTCTTAGAGCCTTTACCAGGATTACGGTGTCTGAATCATATTTGGAAGCCTAACATGGACCTTAAATATATCTGATTCAGTAGCTTGTGGGACAGCTGAGAGGATCCAGACATTCTACCTGCTTCTCCAAGTTTGTCTGCTTTTTCTCTGTCTAATAGATGTCCCTGTCTTGTTGAGAGAGAAGAATGACCGGACTCCTTTTCCCACTGTGAATTGTCAGTTCTGGTTAAACCGCAATTCAGCTGTGTTTGATCTTTCTGAGGACCCTGGGGCTTGAGAAGGGACTAAGGGCACTTGTCAAATCTTCCAAAGCATTTATCATATCTTTCATGTAGAGAGCTCAACATTGAGATGTTTAAAAGAGACTAAAATGCGATGTAATGTTTAACATTTTAAATGCAACTTTAGAAGAAAATAGCTTTGGTGCTTCAAATTGATTATCATTTTAGGAATGGAACTTTGGGAATGGCATAATTTAGATACTTTATATATAAATAATACAACTCTACTGAATCTGGGACTTGGTCATAATGGACAGAGAGGATGGTATTCTAAATTAAAGTTAATGTGTTAGATCAAGTTACTTTGAGTCACCTTTTCTGAGAAGTTATTTGTAGCATTAAAACTAATTTATTAAAATAAAAATATAAACTCTCAGGATGTTAATATATAAAGATGTTGGCCTGAGAAGCGTGATTAGTCTAAAAGATCTGTTAGGCATATGGCGTTGAAGTCTGTTCAGACACAATTGGGTTGATGATACTTTTTATGCATAAATAGAAATAATTCAAATGTGAGTAAAGATCAATGTCATTAATTACGTGGAAGAAAAATATGTGTTCAGAATGCATCTAGCTTAATTGTTCTGTCTGTCAGGCCCCAATGACTTGTCTTCCTCTAACAGCTTTTGGGAAGCTTAGACTTTTCTAGGTGAAACCCGAGTGGCCTGGAACTGAGCCGTCCTATTTTGGTCTCGACGCGGTTCGTGGTTCATTTATCTCTAAATGTGACTTTTTCCCATGACAGTAAAAGTCCTTATGGAGCCTTGGATCTAGGCTGTCAAGTCTGTGGTCCCGCTTGTGATGTGCGCTACTATGTGCATCACTTATTGAAACAACAGGCTTTGGAAGCACCTGCTTACTCGGACTACTTGCTTCCTGGAATTCTTAAGCATCTACTTGGAAAAATCATTAACCATGTTCTTTAATAATTACTGACATTTGTATTTTAAGCTGCATACCAATGTTTGTATTTGACACTGATTTTTCTAACTTGTAAATAAAAGAAGCGAAATGAAGTTTGGTTTCTTTGGGGCTGAATACTCTTTTTTAGACCTTAGGGACCTAGGTTGGAGTGCTGCTGTGGTGCTGTAGGATAAACACTGGAATTGGTTATGTGCCGTGGAGTCGGTTCCAACTCATAGTGACCCTGTACAGGGTTTCCGAGGCTGTAAATCTTTACGGAAGCAGAAAGCCTCATCTTTCTCCTGCAGAACAGCTGGTAGTTTCGAACTGCTGGCCTTGCGGTTCACAGCCTGATTCATAACCACTACACTACTGCAAAATTGACAGTTCAAACCCACCAGCTCCTCCTTGGAAAATGTAAGGGTTGCTATGAGTCAGAACCGACTTGATGGCTCTTAACAACAGGGCCCTAAGTTAGACCAGCCTTTGCTTCATCACCTTTATCCAGCCCTGGAAATTTTTAGGTTGCTGAGGAGTTCACCCAAAAGAGAAGTTTGGTGGCTGCTGACCACACAGGAAGTCCATATGTAGTGTTAACCATGTGTATGGACGTGAAAAAGGAAATGGAAACTTTCGTTGTAAGGGTCTCCACGCATTTCATGCCAAGGCCTGCTGGGTTTGATGTTATTTAACTGAGCTTTTAAAACCATCTTGTAAACCGCAGCTTCTGTGCTCGTATGAAATGTAGAGCCTGCTTTGGGGAAAGGACTAGACGCTGCATAGATGGAGTTGAAAAGCAGGGGAAGAAAACCCCACCTCACTCCACCCCTCTGCCCTTAGCTGGTGCTGTATCCCACTCTACTGGAAGTCACTGGGCTCAGGAGCACTATTCCAATGGGTACCATCTTAAAATGCAAATGATTAAGTCATTAATGTTATAAACTGCTATTGAGTCAGTTCTGACTCACAGCAACCTTGTACAGCGTTTCCTAGGAGTGGCTGGTGAATTTGAACCACCTGCCCTGCAGTTCAAACCTACCTTGTGGTCCAGTGCAATAATACTGCGTTGTAAATTAGGGGTGTTAGATCAGTTTTCACTGGGCTAGTTAAATAACTGGTTAACCAGCTGAGCAGATTGAAGACTAGAAAGATGAAGAGAGTGATTGGAAAGATAATTGGAGTCTGACAAGGATAATGCTAACAAAAGTCCTGGTGTGGTGCTGTAGGGTAAGCACTAGACTGCAAGGTCAATATGAGCCACAAGGTGGCAGCTCAAACCCACCATCCACTCCTTGGAAACCCTATGCAGGGTTACTGAGTCTGACTGGAAGTACTTTACAAGGATCAACAGGAGGAGCTATTGCCTTATTCATTCGATAAAGCAGGCTCAGAAAGTGAGCAGCTTGCTCTAGACACTGGTGGTGGTGTGTAGAGTAGGTTCCAACTCATAACTACGTGGTCTAGGGTTTCTGAGCAGCAGCTAGTGGGTTTGAACCACCAACCTTGTGGTTACTGGCCCAGGGCTTATTTTACAGCATTACGCCAGGACTCCAAGAGGGCCATATTTTAAACCAAGTCCAGAACCCATGTCCTTGTCCCAATACTGAACTTTCAGAAGGAGGTAATGCCCCACCCCCAATTTCCTATTACACAATGTTGCCCTGGGGATGGGGGGTGGGGAGCAGAAGGAAGTGGTGCTGAAGGAGGCTAGAAAGCTGTGTCTTTTGGTCTTTATTGAGAATAAGATAAAGACTTCGGTTAATTTTCAGTATGATTTTGGTTGCTATGAATCAACAAAAGTTAGCATTTCAATGTCTCATCATCTTGGAATTTGGTAAAAAGTGGGTTTTATGGAGAACTAAATTTACAATTTTGAATTATTGTCCCCAGAGGGGGACAATTAAATTTCTTTCACCTCTGTAAAGGTT